TGAAAACGCACTTATTTCGAATAGTTTCAAATGAAATTAAGATAATCTGGCTATGATATGCGAGAGGTTGTATTTCAAATTTGAAGTGTCTAAGACCGGATATAAATCGATTCGATTTGTGAAGCTGATCACGAATATGTATACATTATGGGAGATGCTTGCTTCTTGCTGATACATACTTTTGTACAACTTCATTATACCATTTTTACCATTTTAATGGGTATTTGAAACTCAGACCACAAAATGGAAAACATGTAAAAAGTGAAAATAATTACAACAATAAAAATATGCATATGAATCACAAAATTATCTATTATCTTTCTGTTTTTATCTCTAATAGAGCTGTAAATAATTTAAATGTTATTCGATGCTAAGCATAGCTTTGAAATACTTTTAAAGTATCTCAAATATCGCAAGCATGCAAGCAAAGGAAAACAAGTTTGAGAGCATAAATAATAAACGTGCCGCCTTTGACCCCAGTGTGTTGACTCGTTAGTGTCCAAAAATAGAATTCATAGTGTTCAGCATATCAAATAAAAAACGACGCCAACGCCTTATCAACAAAAATAGAAAAAACAAAGGGAAAAAAACACAAAATTTGAATTGAAATTGATTTCAAACTAATTAGTGGCTGTCAGTTTATGCATCTAATACGTGTAAATAACAAATGTAAATTAACACTTGGTATAAAAATGCATAACAAGCTGCGGCTGCTGCTGCCATTAAATATTCATTCACAAAATGTCGCACAATATGCAACCGGTTAAAGTCGCGCTGAAAACGCGTGCGCGTCGCAATTAAACGGCGCCCAAAACGCTAGCGTCGATTTATGACTGTATTCAAATGTGGGCCAGTCTGCATAATTATAGCCATACACAGCATTGGCTATTATTATTGCTAATGACTGGACAAGTCGAGCTGGTTAAGAGGAAATGCAAATGAGAGAGAGACAGCTGCAGAGACAATGGTCAATACGGACCAGGCATGTTGGCCAATTAGCTGTTTGTCTGCCTGTGTGTATCTATCAGTTGTGAGGACAGTTTGATGGATTACTTAGCACGCAGAATCCATTGTCAGCAGACTTTTACTCATTTACTCATTTATTCATTCACTCATTCAATCGCTTATCTATTTATTCGTTTGTTGAACAGCTAATTACGGTAAAAGTTTTTTGGGTATAGAAGTTTGGCTAAACGCCAAATTCTCAAAACCAGTTCCAAAGCTGTTGGGCTTCGGGCTTGGCTAGCCTATGTGATAAGCACCATCCAAAAATGGCATGGAGAAATTTTTGCAGTCAAAACAATTAGACAGCCTGGCGGCGGGCCGCTCACATCTTGCCACTTACAACATACAACTTACAACTTGTTGCCGTTGCCGTTGCCGCAGCGACAGGAAAATCTCTTGTCAGACTCTCCGGGTTGAGACTGGCCAAGTCTAGCTTGGCTTCGTCTTCTACTCCCCGGCTGTGGCTGTGGCTGGGTTACTTGCAGCGGGAAAATTAAAAAGTGTGTAATTAAATGCGTTGCAATTTGCCCCAGGGGAAAATGCGACAAGGTAAACAATATAATACAAATGACACCAAAGCGCTAGCCGACTTTCCATGTTCTTCAGTATTTGTTCTAAGCCATTGATATTACCGAAGGGAATTGTATACCACTTAAATATCCTTTTAGAGGGTATTTTGAACATGTGTTCCATAAAGTATATATTTAAAAGCATAACTAATTTTTTTAATTGGTTACTAAGCTTTTTACCAGATAATGTACACCTTTGTACACAAAAAGAAATAAGCAAAATATTTTTTTATTTACTGAAGCGGTAAAGTAAAAATTCGAAATTTAAACATCAAAATCAGATTTAATTTTTTTGTTTAATGTTGACTTGTTTCAGTTAACACAAAAATACAAAATTAACAAATTAATTTAAAATAAAAATAAATTAAAATGCATATTAACATTTCTGGACATAAATGTTGTTGCATAAATTGGGAATAACCCAGAAAAAAAACAATATATTTTATTACAAATGACTTCTTTTTTAATACAATAATAGAAATTTTTAATATTATTTTTTCAAAATTGTATATTTTGTGTTTAGAAAATGTAAGTCAATCAAATTGTTTTCGAAGAAAATTTAATATTATAAATATTAAGTATAATTATTGAGTGACTGCTTAAGGAATATTTAAGTTGAAATACGCGAAACGTTTCTAAAAGCCATAACTCTTGCTAACTTGATCATTTAGTAAAACTACTTTTTACTCTGTACTTATTGAATGGAAGTGTATTATTTCCGAGAATAATGTTTTCCAAATGCAATCTAGCAAATGTAAATTATACGTTTTTCTTGTGACTGTTTTAAAAAGCAATGCTTACAATTAACTAGCTCAAATTAATCGAATTACTGCAACTTGTAACTTTGTCACTGTTAAAAAAATAAAATTTATAAATTTGAACTGTGAGCTATCTAAAATATATAAGTGTGTGTGTGTGTTCACTAAAGCGTTGCCAACATGGTTGTAATGCCAGTGTGCCCAACAAAGCTAAAGAAAGAAAATGGGCCTGGGCAGCGGCGCACAAGAAACAACAACAACAGCAATTAACATAAATTGCGTACGCGTTGCGGCTCATTGACTCTTAAAGGGGTTCTTCTATGGTTCGGGTTCGCATCTGGGACAGCTGCCCGTCAATCATTCGCACAAATGAACTCTGACATTTCGGCGCAAGAAGAGGAGGTGGAGTTGAGTCATTGCCGCATAGGTAAATACAAAATACCAAAATGTATTTAAAAAAATAAAAAGTTGCGCTATTTGTCAGTGCGACGCACCTGTCGCAATGGCAAACATTTTAGCCGCAGCTGAGCCGACCTACAGCATGGGGCAAGAGCGCGATAAGCATCACAGCATCCTCATAACAACAAAAGATTAACACGCCGGAAAAGTAAGAAGCGTGCACAGATGGACAGCTCCGATTAGGGGCAGCAATCCTACGAAAAAGAGACAACAAAAAAACGGCCACACACAGAAACAAACAAAGGAGAAAGGAAGAGGGAGCAACACCAGGTAAGTAATTGAGCAGGTAGAAATGCCGGCGGTTTTTTCTCTGTTGTTGGTGATGTTGCCACAAGGATGCAGCAGCAACCGCAAGTAGTATTCCAGCATCTCGTGTTACAAACTCAACAACACTTCAGACACCCAAGTGTCACTCAAAAAAAAAAAGAAGAGGAGTGTTATTAATCGGTAGCCGTTAACAGATCTCAAATACACTTAATTGTAACAGTGATATGTGTGTGAGTGTGTGTGTTGTGTGTGTGTGTGTGTGTACGCACCTTGTAGTGTATTTTTTGGTTGGCCTTGCTGCTGCTGCTGAATTTGTTTGCCTTGATTATTTGTAGTTGTCTACTTTTATTTTCACTGCTTAAAATTCACTTTATTTATATTTATATTTGTTTTTTGTTTTTTTTTTAAATATATTTTAGTTTGGTTTTGTTAGCCTGAAATTTCAATGGAAATAATATACTTAATTAACTCAATGAATAGAGACCAATAAAAAAACAAAACATAAACAAAAACAATAACAAAAAACCCAACGATGGTCATAAATCATTTAATCAATGGTAGTCCATAAAAATGCCGACTATGATAAGCAGGCAGGCTAAGAGGCTGAAGGAGAACGAAGGCCAAACAAATCAGATGCCCAATTCACCTCCGCCATTCTTCACTCTGCGTTCCCCACTCTCCTCTAAATGCCGCCCCCGCTCATCCGTTCTGCGTTCGCCGGTCGCCCACACGCCACGCTTCTTGTTCTCGCTCTCGTTTTTGATTAGTTGCCGCAGCTCAGCTGCTTGAGCAAGCGCCAATGCACTCCACGTTATTAATAACAAGTTCATATGTGTGTGTGTGTGCGTGTGTATGTGTGTAATTTGAAAAGCCCGCGGCAATTGTGAATGCATTTATTTTGATGACACAAAACATGCATTGGCAACTGACACTCGGTTAACCGTTTTGCTAACTAATCACTTGTTGTTTTTTTTTTTGGCGCACTTTCTGCTACCTCATACACACGTACTGTTTGTTGTTGGTGTTTTTATGGCCGCGCGACAATAAAACGTTTGTCATCATTTAGAGCTCATTGCGTTGCTGGCGTCCGCGTCACAACCACAACGTTCGATGTTTTACTTTCGACTGAGCGCGTTCAACGCGCCACAGTCGATGTATTTGATTTTTACGCGTCTGATATCGATAAGTGCTCTTTTTTCGATTTCTGCATATCGAATAGACGAACTGTTAAGCGAATTGCAACTATGCTAAGTGGGGAATTATTAAATATCCCTACCTAAAGAGAAATTACCTTGATCTGCTTATTTAAATAATTTTAAAATAAAATATAATAGCGCATACCCATCCTGAAAAGGAATCCCAATCGCAGAGGAGTTGAAACACTAATACATTTACTGTTGCTTTTTTGTGGTTTATTCAATTTTAAAATATATGCCATTTACTTAAATGATTTTAAGACTATCAAGGTGTTTTGTGATCAATAGTAAGAGTTAAGGTTTAGAATGTGGGCAAAGAGAACGCAGTATGTCGTTCGAATTTCAATTAGTGGCACTTCAATTCGATTGTTTTCTTTGTATTTTTGATATCTTGGTTCTCTGCCCTATATATTATTATGTATGTTTGGATATATATATAAATTTATATATATATATATATAGACAAACAAACCTCATGCAAAAGTTTAACGCTATATTTTGGGTTTGAGTGTTGTATTCAAAACTTGGACAAAATCAAACAAATACACATCTTATGGCAAGCGATCTTTGGCATTATCGTCTATAAGTGATTATATACATGCCCAAAGTAGTCGCCATAGACAGACAACACCAATATAATGACAAGTGTTAAATTTTAAAAAAGAAAGAAATAAAATAATATTGGTTTATGTAAAACATAAATGGAAAAAATTAAACTCAAAAAACAGTTGCTAAATCGAACATACCGAGAGAGGTAGAGAGATAGAGGAAGATCACAAGGACCGGGCACTATCCAGCGTTGGGCGCAAGACAACGTTGGATGATGCGGAAATTCCATTGATATGGGCGAAAGGTTTTTTTGGCCACAAAATGTGGTGAGCTGTGAGTTGACTGAATTGTTATCCAAAAGAGTAGCAAAATGCGAATTTAATTCCTAATCCGAGATGTGAAACGAACGATGTGCCGAAGTGAACGAGTGAAGAACGAAGTGGGATGCGTTTTCCAAAAAATCCTCGCGTATCCTGTCCATTTTTTGTGCACACGTTCATCATCCTCCACACATCTGATACCCAAAAATTAATTACATTAATCCATCAATCGAAAATACATGACAAATACACCCAAAAGATGTAACGAAGCTCTCAACCGGATGGATTCCACATAGCCACAAGCCAAGAGCAAACAGAGATTAGAATCAAATTCATTCATGTCCTCCAATTGAGTGCCGTGGGAAAACTGCATCCCACGTAGTCCTAGCGTTCTTTTTTCGAACAATATGACTAATATCCAAATGCATTTATGAAGAATTCCTGATACCATTTTTCATAAACAATTACGCTTTCCAAATTGCCTGCCTCCACTAATTTAATCCAATTTCATCTTTATCCTTTCCTCATTTCCACTTCACTCCAACATCAACATCAAAATTATCCTTCCTCCTCATCCTCATCCTTATCCTTCCTCCTTCTCCAATAATCCTCATTATACTCCAAACATAAACGCGCAAAATGGGGAAGAGAAGAAAATAAAATGAAATATTAATAATTTGTTAAATGTCTCCATAGAAATTATTGTGTTCTGATATTTCTTTTGTTTTGTTTACATTTACATATATATTTATTTTGAATAGATGTGGGGGTTGGTATTCTTATTGACGTTGTTGTATTTGCTCTTGTTCTTGTTAAAATCCAACCGATAAATTCCAATAAATTACGAATGCAACCAAATCGTAAATACACGGGAAAGTGTAAAGGACCTTCCTTGAATTATCATAATTAGTTAAGCTTAATTTGTCAGTTTTTTTTTTTTTGAATGCATTTCATAATTTACATGAATTTTTCGCATTGGTGGAAAAGCAAGTGTAATTTTTGTGTGATCTGATTTTTTTTCGATTGGATTTCCATCAGTATTGATTGAAGAGTTCCTTCTTCTTCGATAACTGATTAATCGATCGACTGATTAATCACTTGACAGGCAGTTAGCATGTATTGATTTATAAGTTAATTATGTGGATAGTAAGACAGAGTCTTTTGGGGGGTTGAGGACATTTTTGATAGTTAACTTGCTTTTCCTAAATTTTCCTGCTTGTAAGAAACATTAAGATTAATGGATAATGATTGTAGATTTTTTTTTTTAGTAATTAGAGCGTGAGCGAGACCTGGAATAGGATTGACGACGCACCGGTGAATATGTGGGTGTGCCCCTGCGACGTGGACGCGACGAAAATGAACGCGATCGCGATCTGCAAATTAAAAAATGACCGAATATTAATTACCAAACGATTTACAACAATAAATTTTTTCATTTAGAGTCAACCTACCTATCACGACCATAGTCACGACTGCCACCACCGCCGCCGCCGCCGCCTCCACCGCCGCCACCACTACGCTCATTATCGCCGCTGTCCTCGCGCACCCGAATGTAGGCAACCTCACCCTAAAAATTACACAATTACAATGAATATAATTACAAATTACAACTATGAATACAATATCTTTCAAATAAATGATTAAAATAAACAAACAATTGTTTAATGAAATTAATTGAATATAATGAATCGTTTAGATAGATCAGGCGATCAAAATAAATTGCTTCTGTGGTTTTCGTTGCCAGGCAATAAGTCACATTATGAAGTGTTAATTAAGGGTTGATCTCGTTGACATTTTTGTTATTATTTTGTTTTCAGGCAATAATAATCCTGTTCGATTCTGGCACTCACCTCATGGGAACGAAAACGCGAGTCGTCCAATTTCTTAATGGCATACTTCATGTCCTCGTGTCGCAGAAATTCGACGACGCCGGAGCCATCCTTGTAGGTGTCTGCAAAGCAGACATCGCCCGCCTCCCGCATGTGATCCTTCAAGTCCTGCCATGACCCAGAGCCGGGCAGACCAGTGACCATGACACGGTACTGTGAACGCTTGGCTGGTGGTCCACGGCCGCCCATGCGACCCCCTCCGTCACGGCTGCGATCGTTGCGATTGTTCCCGCGATAGCTGCCGGGGCCACCGCCGCGTGGAAACTCGACGCGCAGACGATAACCATCGTAGTCGTAGCCATCGCGTGCCTTGACTGCATCATCCGCATCGCTGTTTTTGCCGCCAAATATGAACCAATTAATATTACTATTCCCCACTTTATATTTACACACACACACTACACACATAAGCGTAGACGTATGTATGTGTGTGTGCGTGTGCATTACTCACCGCGCGTCTTCGAACTCAACAAATGCAAATGGCGGACCACGCCGATTCTTCAGATCGACAAATGTGACTTTTCCGAACTTGTGGAACAGGTCCTGTATGTCCTTGGTGCGAATATCGGGTGGCAAATTACCAACATAAATACGACACTCGTTACGGGATCCCATTTTGTTAAATATCTGCAGCAGCTAATTTCCAATTATAAATAAAAACCAATTTTTCTCCTCAGAACTTTTGCTGTCACGCAATTACACACACAAGAAAAAAAAACATATACATACACAGCGTTGCACGCCTTCTACGATACTTATCGAATAGGGCACATCGATAAATGAATACTTTCCACAAACAGGTTGGCAGCTCGATGAATGGTTTTTGGTTTGGTCTTATTTAGTACGATACGACATTCGTAGTATTGCGGCGTTTGTCTTTAGAAAACAACTTTTGGTTGCAAAAATAAAAAAATGAAAAACAGCATAATTATAGCTGGAGCAAAACGAAAAACTTAAGGCAAAATACTTGACGCGAGCGACGTTATTAGAAAATGTGCAATAGTTGTTGAGGCGGCCGCTTGTGAAGCTGTTTTTGCTCTGCAATTTGCAGACAACAACCTTGAATACATATGTGTGTGTGTGTGAGCGAGTGTGTGTGTGTGCGTGTGTATTTTGTGTATATAAACAAAGTGCGAACGCGGGAATCGCCACGGTTAAAAATTGTGCAGGCTGCCAAATAGAAAAAATGTCCACAGTGCGCTGCATCAATTTCTGGGATCTGTGCCGCATCTGCACGGCGAGCAGCGAGCACAAAATCAACATTTACTCAGCTGACGGACGCGCCAAAAATCTCTGTCAAAAAATCACAGAATGTCTGCCAGTTCAAGTGAGTTGCCCCATACGAAAAAATCAACTGTTGTGGTTGCATATTCCTCGAATATACGATAAGCGATTTCGATTCTTATTCATTCTTTTTCGCATTTTGACGATGAATGCTCAAAATTATTCCTTGTTATTCCCCAGTTTGGTAAAAATATCTCAAAAGACAAAACTTTTTTGAAAACCAATCTATTTGAGCGATTGTTGTAGAAATTTAGTAGATATATAATATCGTATTAATTTCGATTACTTAAGAAACAAAACAGTTTTTCGTACAATAACTTAATTTTCCACTGATTCCTTTTATACAGTCTGCCGTTTATATTATCTTTAATTCCGATTAATTGAAGAAACAACAGTTTTTGAGACACGAACTTGAGTTTAGAAAGATTCCTTATATATATGATATAGTCTGAAAATTGTCTTATCATTCGTTTTGTAAATTATAAAACCGTTTTTCGTACAATAACTTAACTTTTTACAGATTATCTTATTTTTAAATTTGATTTCTTTAAAAACAAAAAAAAAACTTCAATCAAGAACTTAGCTTTCGAATGGATTCTCTTACATATATGATATAGTCTAATTTAAAATTTCCGTTTCTTGAAATAGAAAAGAGTGTTTCAGATTAGAACTTAACTTTCGAATATCTTTCTTTTATGTTGTCTAAATTTACCGGGTTTATATAAATGTAAATCATATATTAAATTTGAAATTTTCGCCCACACAGATCGATGAGAAGGATCGTCTGCCCAAGGTGGTCTGTGCCCAGTGCGCCCAGCAATTGGATCAGGTCTACGAGATGCGGAACATATCGCTAAACTCGCAGACGATACTCAACAATTGGCTCAATCATCGCACGCTGCAGTCCGATGATAAGGTCTTCATAAAGGATGCCATCAATAACACCGGCAAGAGTCTCAGCGTGCTGGGCACTGCATCCAATAACAACAACAACAACAACAGCAGCAGCAATAGTCAACCAAATGATCTGCTTAGCAGCATTATGCAGGCTGTGGGCATGCAGGTGCAACAACAACAACAACAACAGCCCCAACATCAGCATCAGCAACAACCACAGCAATACACAATCACTGTGGATAGCCACGTGCAGACGCATTCACTTCCTGCCCAGCCTGACATCAAGTCAGATAAGCAAAAGTTAGTTAAAGTTAAGTCAGTCTACAATATTCTCATTTATAATATGTATGTTGTCCTTTAGCACTCTGGAAGAATTTATACGCCTAAAGCCGGACATAAAAATCACGCCATTGGGCAAGAAGGACAATGTACACAGTTCAACCAGCAGCAGCAGCATGTCCAATCTTAAGCAACAGCAACAGCAGCAGCAACATCAGTCGACGCAAGTGTCGCATTTGCAGACGCAGACGCAGCAAACGTTGACAGCGCTGCCGGCACCTGCAGCACAGCTGCAGCTGCAGCCGCAACAGATAAACGAGCTCAATGCGCTGCTGCAGCAACAGGCGCTGTGGCAGCAACTGCAACAGCTGCAGCAGTCACAGACGCAGACCCAGTTTACGAGCTGCGGCGATGATGGACTCAACTCGACGGACAGCAAGAAACCCAAATTGAATTTCGTGATCTCGTCACCGGCTGCAGCAGCTCCGCAATTTACTAGCAGTCTGACACCGTTTGGCAGTGTCTCTGGTGGCCAGCCCCAAATACAGCTGCAACTTATGCCTGGTGGCGGTGGTTCGGGTTCAGCTGGCACAACTGGCAGCTTGTCTGCCACGCATCCGACGCAGCAATTAAATGCCGCTGCGCTGCTTTCGCTGGCCGGCACTCAGCTGGTGGGCAGCAATGGTGCCGCCAATATGCTCTCGCCCAACAAATGCTTCTTGCCGATCACCATACGGGATGAGAACTCCGATCAGCAGATTGTCGCACACATTGACACCAAGAATCTGGTGCTGCCCACCACATATCAAGTGCAAATGAAGGTGAAACATTTTATTTTTATAATTGTAAACAATTTAAGTAAAATACCATGCAAAACTCTACCTTTAAAACTAAAATCATAATTTATGAGATTAGCAGTTAAGCAGATCAGCATTAACAACCGAGTCGATTTAGACATGAACAATCTCAGAGACTACAAGAGCTAAATACTTCAAATTTGGAATACAATTTCTCGTATATAATTTTTCATGTTATCGATAACTGCGCCAGTTTTGCGAATATCGATACAAATCGATTTTTCATAGAAATAAAGTAGAGATATGGCCTTCGAACGGATGTATAACATACCCCAACATATAATTGATCAACTGTAGAAATTTCATTAAGATCGGCTAGGTTAGGTTAGGTTAGATCGGCTAAGAAACATAAATTTTGTTAACCGAAACGTATTTTCAAATTGAACGAACTAATATCGGCAAGATTGCTATATATTTAAAAGCTGACCAAAATATTTAAACTTGTTTTAAAATCGATTTGTCATATACTGGATTGTGATTTCTATCACCCATTTTAAAGGGAAATTTCAAAAGTGTTTCAAACACTTGTTTAAATTTGAGTTGTTGGATTGGACTTTGATTTGGTTTATCTATCTATCTTGTAGCTATTTTGTCGTGATATTTTGTATATTTTTGCATTATTTTCATTTATAATATTTGTTACCCGTTGAATTAACATATTTGAATTGCTTTCAATTTGCAGCTGCAGCCACAATTGGCCACTGCTGATGGTCAGCCAATAATGCAGTTGACGCCGACTTCCATTCCAGCCACATTGCAGTTGACGCCGCAAACTTTGAGCAATGCAACAGCGTTCACAACAGCGACGACATCCCATCAAAATCAGTTCCTTGTGCCGCAACAGCCACAACAGCAGCAGCAGCAGCAGCAACAACAACAACAACAACAACAAAATCTGCAACAACAACAACATCTGCAACAACAACAACATTTACCGCCTGCCACAGCGCAAGTGACATCCCAGCAAATAATTCGATCTCCGCATGGAAGCGCAATTAACCCACAAGTGGTTATACGCAACATCAGCTCCGAGCCTGGCACACCGATAAGCATTGGCAATGCCGAGGGTTCGATTACCTTCAAGATGCCCTCGCCACGAGAGCAGCAGCGCCAGCAGCAGCAGCAGCAGACGAAACTTAAAACGTCAACTGCCAATTCAACATTTGGGACAGCTGTTTCGGCTGCAGCTGCTGCTGTTGCTGCACCCAGTGCAGATTTAAGCAAGCGTGTGGCACAGGTCAAACAGCCATCAAATGTGCCGCCCAGCAATGTTGCTGCCCTGCAGCGACTCTCTTCCAACACAACCATCACCAAGCTGCCCAAGCAGCAGCCGCCGTCTGTGGCAGGCAATAAAATGCCGCTGCTGAATAAACAGAATATAACCATCAGTCGCATCTCAAATCAAGCGCCGACCAAGCCGGAGCTCAAAGCGACAGCCACATCACAGATGCAATCACAATCGCAACCACAACCACAACAGCAACCACCCAAACCACAGGCGCAGCCTCAGCCGCAACCGGCAGCAACTCCAGCGGCGCCAGAACCAGCATTCCCAAATATTCTCAACCAGCGGAAAGTCATACGCAAGCCGCCCGAGGTGCATCCAAAGGCAAAGATTGCACGTCCACCGCAACAGATTCTGCCCGTGCCTGCCCAGCAGCAGTCGTCACCACTGACCCAGCAGCAGCAGCAGCACCAGCAGCAGCAGGTCAGCAACACTGCTGTCGCTGTGCTGCCAATTACGCCGACGGCGACGCCAACGGTGACCCTCACCTGTCCCACCTGCAGTCGCGAGTTCAAGAAGAAGGAGCATCTGACACAGCACATCAAGCTGCACGCCGGCCTGCGTCCCTTCAAGTGCACCGAGGAAGGCTGCGACAAGGCGTTCAGTCGCAAGGAGCACTTGTCGCGCCATCTGGTCTCCCACTCGGGCCACAAGATGTTCACCTGCGACGAATGCAAGAAGCCCTTCTCGCGCAAGGACAATCTCAACAAGCACAAGCGGTACGTAAAGCCAGTTGAAGAAATCTTTGAAAGAAATATGACTAGCCAGGCAGGTCGAGATATCTAAGCATGAGATATAAATACCCAGCTCAAGAAATATGAATATGGACGTGAATCTATGAATGAGATATGAATAGCTATATAGAAAAATGTATTTTTAATTTATAAAAAGTAGAATGAAACTCCACAGCTGACTGGACGACTGATGTGCATCTCTCCCGACGGGATTCGAAATATATCGGAATGTATACAATAAATAATACACTTGAACTGGTGCCAGCGATAAAACGCATATAAAGTAGAATCACAAAGATATATCAATACCAAAACTGACCGTTAAACAAAGTTAATTTTTATTTTTTAAATTTTGTTAATAATTTGAAATCTAATCATTGTTGTAACTTATCAACATTTAAACAAAAGTAGGCTCACAAACTTATATGTAATCCAAAAATGAACAATAAAAGGTAATTTATTTTAATTTAACTTTTTTTTAACTTTGAAAACAATTTAAAGAGAGACTTGAATTAGTTCGTCCGCAGCACTTTTAAAAAAAAGTAGAAGCGCTAAGTTATATCAATATCAGAACCAAAAGAAGAATACCATAAGCGGATTAAGTTACTTCTTTTTTTTTTTAATATTCTTAACAATTGGAAAACTAATAATTAATTATTACTTATCCATCCGCAGCACTCACAATGCACCGCCTGGCGAGACGCGGCTGCACAGCTGTGATATATGCAACAAAAACTTTTCATCCAAGCAGCAGTATGAAAAGCACCGGGAAATGCATAAGAAAACGCCCGTCGGTAATGCAGCGTCATCCACGCAACCCGCTGGCGCCACCCGTCAGCCTGCCAAGGTAAGAGTCTGTCAGCTTTTAACTGTTTCATATTTATTTACCTCCGTATTTTTTAGGATATCTTTGAGGTCAAACGGGCAGCGCCCACAGCACAGCAAACGCAGACGACGCAGCAATCGCAAATGCAGGTGCAACAACAGACGCAACCGGCGCCACAGCAGCCACAGATCATGCATGTGGATCTGGATGGAAGTACCATTACCATCACGCAGGCGTCCGATGCCAGCATGCCAACATCTCTGGCCAACTTTGTGCAGCTGGGCTATTCTCAATTCCAGAACTCCAGTGGGCCCACAAGCCAAATAGTTTGTAAACTTGAGAAGTAAACACCCAAACTATTTTGGCTGAAGTTCATTTTCTAGTCCTTGCCTGGGTTTCATCATGATTCTCCTTGTCGCTCTTCGATAGCCAGTTTCGGATATAAGTCCCATATTAATTTTATCGTTTTATTTATTTATATAATCCCATGTTCGTTTTCTCAATTTGTGCAATAACTGATAGTTTTTTCTTATTTATAATTTTTGTACAAAATTAATTAACATAAATTATTTTCATTTTTTATTTATATTCAAAGCCAACCATTCCCAGTCATTCTTAGTCTTGTTTTTATATTTTATTTTTATTAAATAATATATATGTGTATATTCAATGACTTGCCAATTTCAGTAGTACACATGGATGTACATCGATTTTATTAGCATTTAACTGTAAATATTTATGGAGGTCAAATACATTGTAGTCGTATACTAATACTAAAAACCTTTGTAATATCCACACCTGTTGGATAGAAATGCGCAAATGAAACCAAATCGGAAATGAAAAAATAAATGGTATTGTTTGTTTTATGGTAAAGCTCATTTATTTTGGTTTTGAAGCGCTCAAATCGGTGCGATATATAACACATGGCATTATGGCATTCCCACATTGTTTATCCAAATCGATTTGGGTGAGATTTTCGATTTTCCATGCGTGGACGACTGCAACTATAAATTGGAAGAAATAAAAAAGAAGAAAAATGTGTTTTCTTCCATCCTTAAATCATTTTGGCTTCCACGAATTGAATCGAATGCAGGCGCAGATGCAAATTCAAGCACGTTTCGAACTAAATATTAGGCAAAACAATTCTCTGAAAATTTGCAATGAAACCAATTTTGAGAAAATATCAAACAAAATACATAAGATTTAATTGTAACATAAAACGAAGCCAATACTTTGATATGGGTTTTATTAATACTTTGTATGGGATGTGAATGGATGGGGTCACTACTAGAGCAGTGCGATAAATAATAATAGCAAATTCTTTGGCTTAACTAAACATAGACAAATGAATATACTTAAGACGGGAAACTACATACTAAATAAATACTACGATAAGGCACTGGAACGGTTCAAAGGAGCAGTTCCTCTGTGGTAAGCAGAAAGCGATGCATTCGAACAGGCCGCAGGATAATTCAAGATTTGTAGCTGCAAACTGAATGATTGTGAATACGAGTTACATATAATTTACTAACTGTGAATAACTACGTGCTTGTTATTTGGTTACATGACGAGCAGAACAAACAAAACCAAACCAAACCAAACCAGACCAAAAACAAATGGAACAAAACAAACCCAACCAAAACCAAGCAGGCACCAGAGTAGTGCATAAGAATTATTTGTGTGCAGGGCTAACCTTTAAGCTCGTTTTGTTTGCGGTTCAATCGTAACTCAATGAGAACTGGTTTATTTTTTGAACATCGCCCCACACTTGAATCGACTGTATCTCCGACAGGGAGAATAGTGTCTCGAATTTCGTGACAAAATTATGACCCTGTCCCTGGTAGACGTGTATGGTGGAATCGTCATAGTCAAATCGAAACTCTAGTGAAAATGCCGACTCTGTGAATAGTGAATAGTCAAGATCGGCATCGATGCCATCTATAATACTGGATATGCTAGGCACTTTCATATCGCCTTTACCATCGAATATATTCAAAATCGTTTCCTGATGCGATGAACTCCACTCGCCATTACTCTTGTAGTTCTCGATGATTGTCTGTGTCGGTATCCTAACTTTAAAATGATACGTTATGTTGTCTGTGCAGTTGGGACTGTTTACGAAATTTATGGAAAATCTGTAAAAGAAAACAAAAGGGATATATTAATTCAAATTATTGGCAAATGATTGATTTATTGATTAACGACAAATATTTCGTGTAGCTGTGAATTATCTATTTTGGTATCGCCATAAAATCCAAAAAAGAGGTGTGAATTATCTATTTTGGAAACCCTATAAAAAGCCGAAGCAGGCACATGGTCTTCAGCGTGGGCGTCAAAAACGTGCTCACCATTAGGAATCTCCGGCTATGAATATGCTTTCTAACCGGTATTCCAAATACTCATGAATGATTCATTGTCCAAATATTTGCGCCAATTTGTATTCAACGTTAGGTCTTGGGCAATTGTTCCCCAACAATTAATTATTATTAGCTTTTTCGAGAATCGTTTAGAGAAGGCTCTACGTCAAAGCTTTACGAATTTTCTTTATCTTGTTTTAACAATAGACAATCTAAGGTACTTTCAGTTATTCGTATACGTAATGGTATTCTCTGGAAATATTATGACTATCACTGCTATTTTTGAGCTCAAATATTTGTATTGGTGATTATGATATTTGTTAAACAAAAAACAGACTTCAATTTCCGATGATGAGCTGATGAAGAATAAATTCCAAGCAATTTAAAAAATGTGTCGTCACTTAAGATGTGCAACATGCATTTATCCACAAATAATCTTTAAATGTCTGTGCTTAACTTATCATATACCATAATATATAACCAAGTCAACAATTTTCCAAATTTAATATTTTAAGTTTATTTTTATGTTGTGCTAATATATTATGGCACAAGATAAAAGTAATATATTATGGCACAAGATAAAAGTATATTTAATAGTATTTTCCCTCTTTAATCTAATCTAATCAGACTGCAACTACAATTTTTAAATTTAATTAAACTATTTTTAAATTAAAATAAAATGTTTTCTTTAATTAATAATGAGAAATTCGAAATACCAAAGACAATTATATCTTACTCTTAAGTCATTGGTGCTAAAGAATTCAACCTACTAATTAACTTGTTTGCCAAAATTAGTCATTTTGTTCTTGTATACGTGGTAAGGCCTTATCAACATAGAAGCAGCAACAGTAAATATCGTGTTATCAACGCGACAAGATAACAATATGAGATATCGATAGCTAGGTCTTGTCAATAAGTTCCCATGACAGTCTTGTAATCATATTGGATTGGCTTGCCTCACAGCACGAAGCCGGATCCGCCGCTTGTGGGAATAGACAAGCACTAGGGCCATGATGAAATCAGTTGAATTGTGATTTATTGACATCATTTGACCATTGACCATCGTCTTGAAAAAGAATTTCCGAAATTAATGCTTGCTCACCCACAGAATAACGACCTGTTGATTTGCCATAATATATATGTATATTGTCTGCTTGCCCACATTCTTTGCGCTTTATGTGTTTCTGTTTTGAAAAGATTTTTTTCTTTTCTTTCGCTTTTGTTGTTTTGCTATCTGCCGGCAATTTAGCGGCATCTTCAGCGCGTGTCTCCTGCTTTAATTTTGTTTGTGTTGATGATGTCATTGATGGGAACTGATATACTTGTATAAATACACAAAAAATCTTAACGATGCTAGCGATGGCATTTCAATTAGCTACTCATAAAATCGCAAACTGTTTTTAACAGTTTAAATTCCAATTGTTTGACTAAAAATTCTTAAAATAGTCCACCCATCTGTGAGCCATAAATCACCCCAAACTAAAATTGCTGCACGCCAAAATGTGAATTTCTAGTTCTTGGAAAATGTTAGCCCACTTAAGGGACGCCCAATCGATAATCTTAAATGGTCTTTCGTTCGTGGTGGGTGTAGCTTGGTGTGTTGGCCAACTTACTGATTTGGCTGCTGACGCATAGTTCCTACTATCGTAAATTTATTCATCCTGTCCGATTCGTCGGGATTTGTTGGTAGCACAAGCAAGAATCTCACATTAGCCATTTTATTTTTGATTTGGTTATTTAGCTGGAGAAACGTTGCTGCAATGGGCTGGCGGACACGTTTAAACAATTAAGCCGACAGAAATATTGCTTCAATGTAGCAATAAATTGTAAAATATTTTTGCAACTAAATGTAAACAAAATGCTTTGTTGCCTGGTTGTCTAGTTGCCAACGGTAACGAGCAGGTCGTAGAGCTCTTTACAGTTTGCCAGCACGAATAATACTGTTCGACCGATGGACTCAACGAAAATATCGTGTCAAAGATCGCACAACTACGTCACTGATTAAACACTCTCGGCTGAAGACGAAGTGCATATTTGAGGGTATAATTTACGTATATTTCTCGCTGTGTACATATATGTGTGTGTGTGTATGTATTGGACCTACGAACTAGACGCGACACGCGTTGACTTGCTTCCGCCACGGCGACTAAGTAAATACTGAGCGAACGAACGGTTTCGGGCTGGCCCACATTGCTCGGAAGAAAGAAAAGAACAGCGTGCCGAAATCCCATATACACTTGCCGTCAGTTGTTTATTTACATTTTGTTTTAAGTGAAGAAATACATTTTGGACATTAATTTCTTTATAATTATACAATGTTTGTATTTTGTTTTCCTTATTTTGTTTTTTATTCGAAATTAATCTTTTATTTAGACGTGTGGAATGCCCTGTTTTTCCCTGTTTTCAAGCTAAAGAACATATAGCCAGAGAATATGTATATGTATGAAACGTCAACAGCCGTATCTGCGAGCTGTTTAAATATATAATCAGTAAACATGTAGATTTCGCTCTCCAACAAAATAATCCCAGGGTTCAAACGTTTTTTTTTTTTTTTATAGATCCATAAGATTTTTTGTTTCTTGTAGTGTACTTTTGGGCTGCACCAAATTCTTAAATTAGAACCGGAACCGAATCAGTTAACCGATCTTAATGGATGGATTTTAGTTGCAATTAAATATATAAAAATATTGAAATATATACCAAAAGAGGTGGACTTGTTCCTAAGCATAAAAATAAATATATATCCCTAAATAAATAAAAAAAATTCCTCATTATGGAATTAAGGCAAAAAATTAAGAAATGTATGAAAAATTAAAGAACTTTGGAAAAATCTTACTCCAATGTGTTTTTTATGTAGATACTTACAGACCCATAAGAGTATAGACCAGAGTTAGCAAGGAATTTTCATAGTCAGTTTTTCTTAATAATTTGAATGGGATATCACGTATATTATATATACATATATTTGTGGGTCCCAAATATTTTACTAGTAGTAAATGACTCAGGAACGACGTTTATTATTATTATTATTAATGTTTACTTAATATTGTCATCGGGTTTCTCAAATAATAACGTTCACTTCATGATGCGATTTTGCAACTTTATTGAATTGCTTGTATAATTTAAATCTGTATGCCTTTCTGGAGAGATCTTGACATCGAATGCTCGCCGAACTCACCACTCTTTGCGCTCTCAATGACTACCTTGTTTAACGATGAACACTTCGCGTTTCTCTCTGCTCTCGTCTCTCTGGATCTATTCCCATTCTTGCAACAAGCAGTACTACTATTATTTTGACCTCAACTGTATATTAATTCTGCATCAAAAGTTGATAAAAATTCGAGAAATTCACGTTTTAAGTTTATTTTGGAAAAAATTCAAACTCAAATTATTCAAACCCTTTTTATATATATTAACATTGCATTAAAAGTTGAAAATACGTCATCTTGAAAGTAATTCGGATTTTGGATAATTTTTGGCGAAGTTACAACAGCTTAGACTTGAATTTAATTTAATTTAATTTACTTGAGTTCATGCCTGAAAGTATGCCATAAATAACGAACTGCCGCTCTCATCTTCCGCAACTTCTTGGTCATATCCATTATCCCGTAGCAACACAAGGGGTATTTGCATCATGCAGCTATCAATTTAATTTAGAAAGTGATAACGAGAACAAGTGTTTTATTTATCTTAGATTAGTGCGTTGCCCTTTTGTTTTTGCTTTGCTTGTTTCTGTACCGCTGAGTTTCCGCCGAGCTCAAACTTTGATTCTCCAGTCCCATGCCATGCACTTTTCGTAGTGCGAGTGCTACAACTTTTTTTTTAACAATCTTAGGGGGAGGTTCCTAGATATATAACTTCTAAGTCTGGTAAGTCCAACTAAAAAAATCCTAGAGTTATAGGATTTTGTGTCCTGGATATATAGGAATTGTCAGAGATATGTAGTCTTGTTTATCGATTTTCATTTTACATTTTAAAAACCAATATTCTCCTATACCTTGAGTATCAGAGTATAAAAAGGAATGGTGAATGAGTGCGAAAGTATAAGTCGAGTTTGCGGGGCAATATTATATATATTTACTGTGAATCGCGCTTATTTTTTGTGTCAGTGTAGTCTTTTTTCGCTACCGAGAGAATGAAGTACGCTAGCTGTACTCCTCGCACTCGCACTTGCAATTTTAGTATGGTGACTGCTTATTTTCGAGGAATTGCCTTTATTCCCAGCAGATCTTCCCGAGCTGAGTTAATTGCTTGTGGTGGGCTGCTGAACTGAGCTCAGCCACTCAGATTACATATGATAATAACATTCTTTTATTGAGTGCCTTTTACAAAATGGACACATATTTGAAATTATTATATTATATATATTTATTTATAAAAACAAAACATATTTTTTTTCAATTTTACCAAGTTGGCCAAACAATGTCAGATTTTTTATTATTTAATAATGATTTATAATAATAAACGTTTGTCTTTAAGATGGAAATACGGTTCATATTTGAATTGTAGCTATGTTTAATTATGGCATCATCTTCTTACTAACTATTTCGGAGTACTCCTTAATAAGCGTTGCTATCTGAAAAGCCTGAAAGAAAAAAAAGGTTAATAATTAATGTGAAGTTTCTTAATAACTCTTGTTTAATGTAAAAAAAAGATCAAGGTTACAATAATAACTCTTGGTAGTATTTCTTCTACTTGCTTGATTTCAATGATCTTTTTGTTACATATTTTCTTGTGTTTAAATTGATTGTATATTGTTAAGGCCAAAATTAATATATTAATTGCTGTTTATATTTTCTTCTATTCTTATTTGTAATTTGGTTTCATTTTTCATTTTACATTTTTCGTTTTGCAAAAGTTTGTGAATTACTTAAAGTTAATGTACAAATAGTTTCTTGAATATCGTATTATATTTGTGATATATTGCAGTGTTAGCTCTCTTTGCGGATCTCTCTCTTTCTCTCTATCTCTCTCTCTTTCTCTCTATCTCTCTCTCTTTCTCTCTATCTCTCTCTCTCTCTCTCTCTCTATCAATCTTTATCTAAAGCTCTATCCATCTCTATCTCTATCTCCATCTCTATCTCGATCGATCTATCTATCTATTTCTATCTCTATGTCAATCTCTATCTGTATCCACCTCTCTCTCTCTCTTTAGCAACTGTAGCCTTACAACAAATTTATATTTTTATAAAGCAATTTTCATTTTAGGATGAATGTAGTCCTTCACCTGCAGCAACTAGTCTGTTAGAGTTGAAGAACGGAGTGCAACTCTTGCGTTCCCCAACCCGAGCTCTTAAAGTGGACGTCGATGCAGTGACCACTCCTTAGAGTGCTGCCGAATTGACACGAATTTTCCATTGGGATAATACCTTATTAGCAGCATCAAGCAATTCAATTTGTTTGCTTGTATTTATTTTGAATTTGAGCATTAAAAGCTCTCGATCTGATCTTAGCTAACTATCTAACAGCTGTATCATTTTCGCTTGGTATGATTTACAAATATGGCTACCAAAATGCTGTCACGTTTATATTTTTAAATGTTATTAATATCATTAATTTAATTAAGATAAACAGTAGTTCATTAGTGAATAGTATCTTAAATAATAAGATTAATTAATAACAGATCATAAATAAGTTTGTAGACAGAAACATTTGAACGTGTGTTTATATGCAAAAGACAAGTAATAATATAATATTCTTTCATAATTACCTGGGAAGTGCTTAAGACCACTTTAGATTGTTTTTTTTCCGAGCCAGTAAATATCATTAGAGAGCTCATATTCGGCGAGAATGATATTAATGATTCATACTCATGTGAACACAAAATATTGCGTGAGCGGTGTTCCAACAAGTGAATACCACTTTGGTCAACTGCCAACCATAACATCCTTGGCCAATTAGAAGTAAACGATTGCTGAAATACATAATTTGATATTAAGTTTGTTACTTGTATAAGATAAATGTAAGTGTGCTGAAATCAGGAAGGCGTTAATACATCGATACAATAATTTACGCCTTTGCTTTTATAACATGGTCAATTTAAAAATAATACAAAATTGCATCTGATGGTTGAGCAAGCAAAATATACATTTTTAAAATTTAATAATAAATTTGGGGCCAGCTTCCACCATGTCGATCTCAGATGACCAACATTTTATTCGAATTAGGTGCTTAATATTCTTCAAAACGCTCAAAGGAATAGAAATGCTGCGATATATTTTTGCTTGCTTCAGTTTTATAAATAAAAAAGATGGAAGATTTTGATCAGGCCATCGCCCATAAATTTATTTATATTTATTATACAGATACTGTGCTCATGGTCTCTTAAAGCCTTTACTTTCTTAACAATCCGTGAAGTTATGCTCCTATCCTACAATTTGTCATAAAAGAATCATTTACTAATCCTCTTCATAAAATGGAAAAATATCAAATTTTCAGAATTACGGAGTTATTTAAGATTTTACCTTGCCAGGAATGGATCATGAGATATAGATCTACTTCCACTAACTAGACTAAATTAATAATTTATGGGATTTCCAAATAACCTAATTTATTTATTTAACTCTTAGAACCTTTAATGCTTATTTTAGAGGAACTGTCCCTTTCCCTCTCTCTTTCTCTATCTTGTTATTCGCGTTATTTATAAATGATCTTCCGTCCGTTTCAAGTCACTCTCCGGGCTGATGTACATATGTATGTCAACGACGTAAAACTTTGCCTATCGCCTACTAACTCTTTTCCTGATCAGAGGCTACAAACTGATTTCCACAATTTTCAAACCTGCTGTCGAGTAAATTTATTATATATTAATTGTAATATAAGCAAATTTGTGTCTGTTTATAGGCGAATGACCTTTTTAAATAACTAATTTCTCTATGGCAAGCCACTGGAACGCGTTGATGACATTGATGAAGGCGAGGTGGGTATGTCCAAGTAATGTTATTGCCAATCTTTGGAGGAGGTTCCCAATAATCGGCCTCCCAAGGTTGGTGACTCAAGCTAAAAAGCTATGAACAATATGGGCAATTTCGATTTTTAGCACGAAAATCCTAACACTTTTTCTGACCTGGTTACAGGCAAGTTTTAAGGACATGACGGAAATCGCATAAAAATATATACTCTTACATTTTG